AAATACAGCATTACGTGAGTACAACAGACTTTAAAAAATCTACACCTCTTTAAGGCACCCACATTCTATATATTCATTTTAATAACAACAATGGATGCCAAACATACTTATGTAAATTTAGAACCATACAGACCGTTATTTTTACATAGCTAATGTAGTTACTTACATTGTCAATTGCAAGAAGGACTATCGAAAAGTGTCTGCTGAGAAAAACTATGTTACATCAGTTTTGCTGTCATCACGCAACATCTTTTTCGATAACCCCCTATTAACATTTTCAAAAGAAATTCTGAATCCTTGAAGCGTTTTAATTTAATTTATTCACTTGAGGCCTAACATTGAATGCAGAATCCCTCGAGCTGCCAGGGCAATTTTCATCAAGGCAGTACCACAACTGAATTTTAATTAAATTTATGGATTATCGGACTAATAAAAATTCTCGTAATTTTCCGTAATCTTCGAGCTCACGAATGCCATTATTTCGGTATTAAATAGTATCGAGTCTATTTCGATAAAATTGTGTCGCTTTAACGTCTAATTTGTAAGATCGAGAAAATGTGAACCAGACTGTAACTTGGCTTTAGAATTGGCAATGATACTTACTTGGGGAAATATATATATTTTTTTTAATCAATTTACAGTCATGTTTTGCCTTGGATATTTAAATATTATCCGTCTCTTCAATACTAATAATTAAAGTTTTCTTATTTTTCCTTTACGGTCATCGTTGTCTTTTTTCTTGGCTTCGATTGGGAGAATTGCTAAAGTTGTTGTGTCTGGCATCTGTTGTATATTTACTTTCAGGGTTTGATGAGCAGGGCAACTAGACTCTATATTATCTATGGTGAATGGGTTACAAAATCAAATTTATTAAAGTTGAAAATAATAATATCGGCCATACTCCACACTAAATTTCCTAAAATATGTTCAAAAGTTAACAGAAGATTGAAGATTGTCCCAATGGCCGTCTATAAGTTTGTATAGATGCTTTCAAATAAATCTCATGTATTTCGCCTATACTAGGCTGATGTATAGACTTTCATTGAATGAGAAAATCTCTCGCCCAATGAACCGAAAAGCTGAAGAGAAAACAATTTATAGGGTCAAAACCTCAATGGAACAAGTTATTTAGTAGGTAGGTACTTATTTTGCGAAGAGGCCCTAGTCCAGCTTTAAATGCTATATTTTTTCAGCAAAATGGTGCCTCGCCATATTATATCCAAAATACTTATTTACCAGGTCTGATGACAGTTTTGTATACCTAGTTTGAATTTGGATCTCCTATCATTAACTTCTTTGGATCCAAATATGTTCTTAAGGGCATAGAAGCAGTTTTTTGCGGTTTATAGTCGGTACTTTATTTCCTCGCCGATGTAATTGTCGGCTGTGATGATCGGTACTTGAACTGCTTGACGTTTCCAAAATTGTACTCATTCGTTGACTCATTTTGTCCCGCTCTCCCTCTGCCTGTCCTAGAGATATGCATGTATTTAGTCTTGCTTTCGTTGATCCTCAGACCCATTTTAGGTACCTCTTGCTCCAGTTCAACAAACGTTCCTTCGCTATTTATTACGCTGGTTTCCACCACATCAATGTCGTCTGCATAAGCAAGTATTAGCTGCGAACCATTTCGGAGTCTCTTACGACCTTCTCCGAGGCAATATTGACAAGAGTCGGGGGCAGCGCGTCACCCTGCTCCAATCCTGTATTTACCCTGAATACGTCTGTCATATTTTTTTCACTCTACATCTAGAACCTTCTACATAAACTCTTGTTGGTCTTATAATTTTATGAGATATCCGGACTTCTGCCATTATCTCCCAGATCTCAACTCTTTTCATTATCATAGGCCTGTTGGAAATCTATAAACAGTTGATGTATCTGCCTTGAATACCCAGCTTTTTTCTAGTGGCTGTCTAATTGTGAACAGTTGGTCGGTTGTTGATCGGTTGTGCTTTCTTTCCAGTCTTCTGAGATCTTTTCGTTTTTCCAGATAGTTCTTATGAGTTCATGTAGTTGGGATGTGGCTATATTTTCGGCATGTTTCAAGAGTTCGGCGGTTATCGTGTCTTCAGATTTATTTTTATCCAACCTTTTCATCTTGATGTTGTTGGTTCTGGGTCTAAAGCCATTCTTTCTTGTTCTTATTGTCTTATAGAATTTCCTGGTATTGTTCTTTCCATCGACTTTCAGCTCCTGCAACTCCTGATCTTGATTTTTTCTTTTTTTCATTCTTAGTAACTTATTAGCTTCTCTTTTTAGTTGTCTGAATTTACTGTTATTGTCTTCAGTAGGATCCTGTATCTAGTCTAATCTTGCATTATTTCTCGTCTTAAGCACCCGCTCACATTCCGGATCGTACTAGTGGTTTCTATTTTTATTTCTTTGCTTTACTCCCACAGTCAGTCTTGCTGCCCCTATGATTGCTTCGAATATTATAGTACGTACTTTCCAACTTGTTTCAATGTCATCTGTTATTGCTGTGACGTCATAGGATAGTAGGAAACCCGTCCGGCGTCGTTCGCCTACCCGTGTACCTGCTACATGCCTGCTAAAAAGGGCCTTTAACCCTTTCACCATTACCTTTGTCATTGTAATTTTAGATTTGTTTGGCGTGTTCATTAGTTATTTGTGTTTCTGTGGAAGTGCCACGTGCCACCTTTTCGTCTGCAGAAATCAGAGGCGTGAAGGCAAAGAGTTATATATGTGCCCCAATGTAGTTTCTATAATATTTTTAAAACCCATCTGGAATAAGACCATCCTTGTTTATCAATTACGAATCAGATGAAACAACAAATTACCAACAAAAACGAAACATTTTAAATTTAATATTTTTGATTTACCAGAAGCGATCCAATCGCTTAACCATATTGAGCCATAATTTTCTTCTTTTTTCCTGCCTGGGAACTTGGATAAATGTCTTTTCTCTCCCGGAATTTTTATTGATGTATTTCCGCACATAAGAACAATACACCAGTGATAACGAGAGTGATACGTAGTCGAAGTTGGACTAGTTGGAGTAGATATTTTATCCATGGTATCTGTATTAGTTACCCGTCCAGTTGACAAAATTAGTTTACTGTTAACGAATAGGTAGTCATCCAAAATCACAAGCACACAAATAAAAATAGAATAACAGAAGAACACAACCTTACCTTCCACGATTGACCACGATACACAACATTTGCCATTTGCCTAAATCCCTCGAACTTCTTTGATATCCGATGACGTCACAGTAGCGATTGCGTGTTTTCGCGCGCAAATAAACAGTTCGAACTTTAATTTTAAATATCTTTGTTATGAAAATGAATTAATTTAAAATATTTACAGACTGTTATATCTACCTAATAAAGATTCTGAAAATATACAAATAATTTTTTTTGCAAAGGATTTTCAATGTTTTTAGTAAATCAAGGGAAAAGTTCTTATCCTAGAAATGTTGAAATTTCAATTCAATCACTGATCATTTTGGACCGCCCGAACTTTGTTTTTATTCAAAATTTGGTTGGTGGATGGTTCTGGCATTGCGCACAAAAAATAATGGAGGACTGTTCTTACACTAATTCTGAACCAATCTGGAACGAAAACAAGCCGCAAATCACAAAATTCCAGAGCAAGAACTGAGAGAACCGTTCCAGAACAATCCCAGAATTGTTCTCATACAGTTCTAAATAAACCAAATTGTTGTCCACACAGTTCAATTACGGTTCTAAAAAAAAAAGAGACTGCGTTTTATAATATGCGCATGTGCAGAATGATTCCGAACTACACACACCGTCAAAATTAGGGGAACGAACAAAATTTACACTAAGTTTGACATCAATTTTCTTCTGAACCCTCCGCTCGATTTCGATAAATTTTTCACAGATTGAAGCTTGATTGTTCAAAAATGCATCTGACGTATTATCGTTATTGAATGATTCGTCTTTATATCATATACAGGGATGGAAAGAAAGTCAGTAATTTTCAGAGTTTTTTGAGACACCCTGTGGAGTGAATCACTGGAAACTCAGAACAGTTTTCAACACAAAATTGTAGTCTGATCTTTTCCGAACATTTTAATTTTTTATTCACTCTGATATTTTCAATATTATTGAAAATGCAGAGTTTCGATGAAAAGGTGGACATTGTATATTACATACCGAGGTGGAAAGTGTTTCATTACTGTCGAGAAATTAACTAAAATCTCGAGACAGTAATGAAACTTTCAACCGAGGTATGTATACTATTTTATTTACAATCATTCGAATTATGCAATTTTCATTTAATTGAAAACTAAAAAAATACAATAAATTTTAACAATTTCATTTACTTTCGGCCCACGAGAAGAAAGTAATCTTTCAACTCGTGGGTGGAAAGTAAAAGTTGAAAAATACAATAAATTTTAACAATTTCATTTACTTGCGGCCCACAGAGGAAAGCAAACTTTCGACCCGTGGCTGGAAAGAAAAAGTCAAAAAAGTGACATTTTCAAACTTTTTGAAAGTCAAAAGTCAAAATTACATGTATGATTGTAAATAAATGTAATTTTTCCTGTTCAAATAAGACTAAATTCGACAATATCCTACCGATGTGCCGAGGTCTGATGAAGGATAAATTGGAGAACTCCTAAGCCTGGTTCAAGTGTGAAGGGAGAGTTTAGTATTCTTTAACCATTTTATCGCTAGAAGTCGTTTCCCATTTTTCTGTAAAACTGCATGTCGTGTTTGAACCAGGTTTCGGAATGCGGAGTAAAATTTCAATATTTAAATAATAATTGACTTCCAAAATCTAGTCTATAGCTGAGCATCAGCTGTGAGAAAAGTGGACTGTATTTTGCGGTTTCAAAATTACGGGTACAATTGAGATCTTACCTAATCCAAATCCAGTTACAGCTGCGAGTTGCGGAGTTGCGGTTGAACTTGATCGATCACAGTTCGCGAATACCACGGCCGGCAAGTTATTTGCGGTATGGTTGAGTGCGAGTAAAATTGGTCGAGAACGGAGGGCTTCTAATCGCGACCATTCCCAAAAACGCACTGGTTTTTAATTTCCGACGCGTCACGTCGAATTGTCGTATGATTCTTCCACGCATATATGAGGGCAATGCGGTAAGTAGATAAAGACCTCAAATATTCAAGAACGCGAAAATAATCTGAAGGGTGAATAGTGGATTAAAAGTTTACTCCAAATTTAAAGTATGTATTTCAATAAATTATTGGCAAAATAAACAAAAGAAAATAATTCAATGAAGGACAATCTTAACAATTTAATACAAATAACTTAAAACTATTGAGTTGAGTGGACGAAACACTGCATATATTAATAGGTCATTTGATAGCATTCGAACAAAATACCAAACGACTATTCGAATACTCAAATTTTAGAAATTCCGAGCCCTACTATAGTTTAGATAAATAACATTCCACCAAATGGAAATCATGAAAGAGACTTTCTGATCCCCCTGTATATTTGTGAGCATTCTTTTCACAATATATTGATCGGTAAGAGGTAAAACTGCAAGCAATATTTAACTTGAAGTAAACATTCACACACACGAGTTGGAAAGTTGCAAAACGACACATTTTCATATCCGCAATTAGTATGTCGACGTGGAGCAAATTAATATCCATCTTGTCTTCGAAACTCTGTACCTATTTCCAATAATATTGAAAATACCAGAGTGAATGAAAATTGAAAATGTTCGGAAAAGATCAGGCTACAATTTGGTGTTGAAAACTGTTATGAAGTTTTAGTGGTTCAATCCCCAGGGTGTCTCAAAAAACTCTGAAAATTACTGACTTCTTTCCATCCCTGTATATGATATGAAGACGAATCATTTATTAACGGTAATACGTTAGATTTATTCCTGAAGAATCAAGCTACAATCTGTGAAAAATTCATCGAAATCGAGCGGAGGGTTTAAGAGAAAAGTGATGTCAAACTGTGTAAATTTTGTCCGTTCCTAATTGTGCCGGTGTGAAGCTTAGTCAACCAATGTAAGATTTAAAGTTGAAATGTTTTGAAATTTGAAAACTATGAAACCTCGATCTTTCCTCCTTGGTAAAATTGTTTCTTTGGAACTATAATTCCAAATAAAATAAAATTTGCAGGATTGTTAGTCTTCTTTCAGAATTATCGAAATATCATAGATTAAGAAGTTAATGATGACAACCCAACAAAAACAGGAAATAAATAAACTTCAAATCCTTATTTTTGGTTCAGAAGAAATTCTTCAAATAACGAGAATAAAAACAGTAAAAGCACTGGAATTAACAGAAAAATAGACCCGGAAAATATACCTATGAACATACCTATGAAACCTAGTTACCTAGGAATTTGGAAGTTGGAAAAAAACTACACCAGAGCGCAGAACATTCCCTCTGTGTTCCACAAATCCATTACCATGAGAAAATTTCCAGAACCTGAATGAGGTTATACATACTTTGTTTTCTATTTCCTTCTTCATACATTTTATTTTTTACACATTGAAAAATGGCATCAAAATCATAAATTATCAAGTATTAAAAGCATTTAGACAACTCAAGAAAATATTCTCCTCTGATAAGGCAAGAAACATTACCAAGTACGGCATTTTAAAATAATTAATGATATTTCGCAACGAAAATTTATTTATTTGTATAAAGGCGTAACCTTTCAGCAAATACGCTCTGTACATTCAAATGCGGATTAAAATATGACCGCTACACCATGTTTTACTATTTATGCACAAATTATTTATGTTATACTTCTAGTAATTACAAATACATAATTAATACAAGTTTATTGGTCTTTTCAGATATTTATTTGATCTAAGAACGCGCTTCGTTTCCTGTTGAGAGTTTTTATTATCAATTATAATCATTATTTAATGTTGATCATTTATTGATATAATTGTTTTTTTCATTTATTTAATGGTTTTTGAACTGTGCAGATGAATGAATTTCAAAATCGAATGAATACATTATAAAATCAATTACAGAATTAGCTTCACAGAAAATGAAGTTGAATAATTGTTAATAAATTTTTTATTAGGTGAAGATTAAACGATCCCAAACATTTAGAAAACTGATAAATTTGTTCCGGGAAAAATGAAAATCTTGTCATTATCTTAGCATCAAAGCCATCACGAAATAATTTCATGACATCGTCCTGCTTCAATCATTAAGCTCACTCAACTTCCTGTCAAATAGAATTTTATCATGGGGTACTTAGCAAATAAAGTCATAAAATTATACGGAACCTCTCAGACTGATATAACTTGATTTAGCTCTTATATAATTTTTTTTATGAAGAATGGTGCCCGTAGCCTCGATTCGTTGCACATCGATTCTCTTGGTATTTTGCAATGAGATCAAAACGATCGACCAATCATAATCAACGTATATTGATCGAGTCTGCGATATTATTGCATTGTATGTATATTAATATTAATCGCAGCAATACAATTTTGAACTGGTTTTGAGATAAACGACTAAAGAACCATTTTTTCTATAGAACAAACATATTATTTTTCATAAAAGGCTAAATACTACCATGTAAACATATAAAGTGATTAATAAGGTTTATCTCGTGTTTAAAAAGGTATACGTTAACGCCTAAGTCCATAAAAAATCCATGTAAGTCGACTTTTATTTAGAAAAAAAACATCATCCCGGTACGTTTCAATGGTCGCGATTGAGATAAGGTGCCTAGAAAGTTACCAAATAAAGTCATACTACCAGTTTAATATGTATAGTAGTCAGGTGAGAATTGGACACTTCTGAATAAATCAAATCGTCACGTTGCTTGTATGGATTTCCGTATTCGGAGGCTGATTGAGTGAGGTTTTTTATCATTATCATTTGACTTCTGAGTATCAGCAAATATGCATAATAAATAGAGAGAAAAAAATGGCCACGTACCTCCATCATACCATGATTCTCGAATTTGGCGGTACAAAAGTATTCTGGAAATATTTATAAGGTTTCAATAGAAACAATTCCAGTTCCAGCTTTTCAAGTGTCGCACAAGGACAACAATTCGAATCTTGAACAAGTGATAACTTCATTTAAATAATATGTCTGGATATCCTTGCCCCAGCCCAGAACATATTTTCTGAATGCATTTCTATATGCAGAGACTTTTGAGAGCTTCCAAGTTCGCAGATCAAACTCGCGAGGTATAGTTTATAATGTTTTGAGCAGCTACATGATTGTTTGATCCTTGTTCTACTTTATCAAACTTGATCAACTCGCTTGACTAATACTAACGACTAACTTCAACCGGTCCGAATTGCCTCATCTGGTAAAAACTGCAAACCAAAAACCACAATCTCGATAATTTTCAATTGATTTGATGCAAAATCGTGATGTCATCTTACTCCTGGTGTTGTGCTGAACTCGATAAACCAAATCATTATTCCTCTTGAATATTCTGTAGGGTCCTTCCCATATTATGCTGAAGACAATTTTGGTGACATTCCTTTATTTCTTGCTGGATTATACAGCTATACTAAATCGCCTTCTTGAAATCTGGCTGAATTGGCTTTCAAATCGTATCATCTGGTCTTCATTCGGTCACTAGTCAGCTGAATATGTTCCCGAGCAAAATCATGTAACCCCAGAAGTCATGCCCTTACTTCGTCGGCACAATCGCGAATCTCTTTTCGTTCTTCTTCAGGTATTCCAAACATCAGATCGCAAGGTCACCTGAGTACCCTTCCTAAAATGATTCTAGCTAGACTTTCACCTGTTGACTCGTGAACAGCTGCTCTATAACTTCGTTGACCAGTCAGAAACAACTACTCCGAGGGCAAATACCCCTACCGGCGTTGAACTACACTGATTGGTCTGAGCTTTCGTTGGCAATAGAAATTGTTAGAAAGATTTTTACAGGTAATGACCAACGTGAATACAGGGACACTTCGGTCCCTGTTTGGGAATCGGGCCACTGAGCAGTGGACTCAGGCTTCCCATGCCAATCCTTAACGCGTTTCGTCCTTGTTAGGACTCATCAGAAGGACATAGGCTGAAGCTCCCTGTCCAAGCAAAATTGAACTTCGTTGACCAGTCAGAAACAACTACTCCGAGGGCAAATACCCCTACCGGCGTTGAACTACACTGATTGGTCTGAGCTTTCGTTGGCAATAGAAATTGTTAGAAAGATTTTTACAGGTAATGACCAACGTGAATACAGGGACACTTCGGTCCCTGTTTGGGAATCGGCCCACTGAGCAGTGGACTCAGGCTTCCCATGCTAATCCTTGACGCGTTTCGTCCTTGTTAGGACTCATCAGAAGGACATAGGCTGAAGCTCCCTGTCCAAGCAAAATTGAACTTCGTTGACCAGTCAGAAACAACTACTCCGAGGGCAAATACCCCTACCGGCGTTGAACTACACTGATTGGTCTGAGCTTTCGTTGGCAATAGAAATTGTTAGAAAGATTTTTACAGGTAATGACCAACGTGAATACAGGGAAACTTCGGTCCCTGTTTGGGAATCGGCCCACTGAGCAGTGGACTCAGGCTTCCCATGCCAATCCTTGACGCGTTTCGTCCTTGTTAGGACTCATCAGAAGGACATATGCTGAAGCTCCCTGTCCAAGCAAAATTGAACTTCGTTGACCAGTCAGAAACAACTACTCCGAGGGCAAATACCCCTACCGGCGTTGAACTACACTGATTGGTCTGAGCTTTCGTTGGCAATAGAAATTGTTAGAAAGATTTTGACAGGTAATGACCAGCCTGAGTCCACTGCTCAGTCGGCCGATTCCCAAACAGGGACCGAAGTGTCCCTGTATTCACGTTGGTCATTACCTGTAAAAATCTTTCTAACAATTTCTATTGCCAACGAAAGCTCAGACCAATCAGTGTAGTTCAACGCCGGTAGGGGTATTTGCCCTCGGAGTAGTTGTTTCTGACTGGTCAACGAAGTTCAATTTTGCTTGGACAGGGAGCTTCAGCCTATGTCCTTCTAATGAGTCCTAACAAGGACGAAACGCGTCAAGGATTGGCACGGGAAGCCTGAGTCCACTGCTCAGTGGGCCGATTCCCAAACAGGGACCGATGTGTCCCTGTATTCACGTTGGTCATTACCTGTAAAAATCTTTCTAACAGCTGCTCTATAAGCC